GTGTGCTCTTCCGATCTTAGTTAACCTAACTTTTTTGTTAACTATATATTATGAAACTGTGCCTTAACAGATGTTCAATTTAATATACCTTCTATCTTGCGTAGGGGTCTGTTTAATCTTTTCGATATCTATACATACTCTAAAATCAAAACAAAACACTTTGATAAATGCAATTATTGTAAGTTTTTAATTTAAATATTGATTATTAACAACGTTATTGTGCAAAATAAATGGAGAGCCGTAATATTTCTATCTCTCCTGCTAATAAACGCTTATCAATATAACTGAATTCTGAATATAAAATTGTCACGAAATGGCATGGTTGCGACATTGACACAAGGCTGAACAAATCGACAACAAAGGCGCTTCAGTCTTTATTACAAATTCACGTTAACTTCCGCCTATATATCTCAGTCCTCTTGTATTTGTAAACTGATCGTTCGGCCAGCGATTTTGCAAAATCGGAGATGAATACCTATTTATAAAATATCAAGTGTTGCGTAATCGTTCGCACGAATGGAACTCGTCGACAGTGACAACGATTAGTTCGAACAAATCTTCTTTCGGCTTCACTAGTTCTTTTATTGATCCGTTAACAGTGCTGTTTCAGCGAGTTTAAAACTTTTCTTTATCTCAAGAGAAAATGATAATGCAAATTTACACTACAACAAAATTCATTATATAAATAAAACAGCTTCGTTTCGAGAAGAACGAAGATTTTGAGATATAGAAATATCTCAAAATTAATTTTACGATTACCAACTTGCAGTAAAAAGATAAAAGTGACTAATTATATGTTAAAGTCACAATATGTCACAACGGCAACTTATATTTGTTTTCTGTGGTTGCATAAACTTCATTACTTTACTCTGTGCTTCCGCACATAATTCATCGAATAATGACAAGAGCAACGACAGTAATAATAATTACAATATATTACCCGCTTATGCTATTGCTTCAACAGCTTCGGGTCTTCTCAACTCAACATTATGTGAAAAGGAACTGCTGAATTTCCGTGACGCTATCGATCAACGAATACTTTGGAGTTTGAAAGGTATGTAAATTCTACTCAATTATAAATGCTCAAATATAAAGTACGAAAAACTAATTAAAAAATAATTAGTCACGTGCATACCTGTATTATTTAATTTTCCAATCATCTATAATACTAATTTACCAATAAATTCATCTTAACTGAAATTGAATTCATATTATGTCTTTCTTTTGTTTTTGAAAAACGGAACAAATATAAGCATTAGGGGCTACGCAGAATAAAAGGAATAGAGAACAGGGAACAGAGAATAAGAATTTCAACCTATCAGAAACCGTGTGCTGGAATATACACTTTCTGATAAGTTGAAAATCTTATTCTCTGTTCCCTGTTCTCTTTTCCTGTCCCTTTTATTCTGCTCCGTATTTTGGCATTACTTTGAGGAGCGTTCGAGGAGCGTGTTGCTAGTGTATTGTCAGCTTATTCTATTTATGTTTTATGTTTAGTGAAAAATAGAATGACGCACAATAACACTGATAGTGCTTCCCAAACGCAGCCATTAAATATCATAATGTTACTGATAATCGACGCTACCAAAATAAAAACAAATGCGTAAAATTTATAAAAAAAATAAAATGTATAATTCTATAAATATAATTAAGATTAAAGCAATAGTTTAAAATAATAAATGAACTACACATATTAATTTATACTTACAATATTTTACGGTTTTACTTACAATATTTTAGTAATCATATGAATCTAACAAAGAAAATTTTATATCGCTCATTGACATATACATTGTATTATATTTAAAGCTCTATTATACGTATTTTCAAAATAATGAAAAATTACAGATTATTTTAGATCGTATTTAAAAATAATATAAAAAATTTATTATTTTTATTTAGTACCTGATTTTCGTTTCTGAATGGATGTTGCAACATGTTTGCAATTGACTTGCGACTAACGTAAAATCACATCTAACACGTTCTTTCCCTGCCGATATATAACGGGGAAGAACTGCTGTGCACGCACATACAATTTTCTTTTATTTCAATTATACAGTTAGTTTACTATACTTATTATAAAATGTTATTTAAAACAAAAGATAAATCATAAGAAGAAATATCTGTTATTGTATGAGAGTTAACAGAATAATGACGGATATCTAAAGATTACTTTTTAAAATCAATAATTATTTATCGAAAACATTAAATGGTTAATTAACAATAAGTAAAAAATACTATTCAATATTTCTTTTTATCTTTGTAAATAACATTTGTTTATTTTTTATTTTTAAGTGTTGGATTCCAGTGGTACATTTCAACCAGGTTTTCTTTATGGAAATAATTATTTATTGGGTATTCGTAGCCAGTGCTTCGATACGATGAATGCTGATCCTCTACAAATTTCCGAGCGGGATTTATTAAATAATACGTTGTACCGTGATCCGCAAAAGGAGTTTCCACCTTTCGAAGTAAATTACTTTGTTGCCCATTTCAAACACAACAGTACTCTTCAATACCACACAAATCTACCTAATGAAGTAAGTTTATATATCTTGGTGTAATAATAGATAGTTGGAATATACAAATATACGCCGCTAGATAAATTAATTTATATTATATACAGAAATAAAATAAACCGTGTACAAATTAATTAACAGCCGTTATAATATTACAATTTTTGGTTCTTTCATTGTTTTAAATCTAACTGACGACTGGAATAACAGATTCATTTTTTAATTAAAGAAGTTCTGCAGATATCTTTTTATTGCAGAATTATTTCCGGATATAGATATTGTGATAAAGATATAATTAAACGATTGCCACTCCGTCTTTACTTACGTACGTAATACTGTAAGATGATCAAAAGTTTGTGTCAAAATATCTAAATATCTAAATATACATATATACAAAATGTTAATTGCTAATGATTAATTTGCAAAAAAAGTACTGCGCAATACTACCATGCTGATTCTATTAGTCATTTACGTTTCAGTATTAATAATTTTTGAAAATTCCCCCATTGATTTATATTTATTATAGTTTTAAACAATAATAAGAACAGTATAGTATTTTACATATTTTATTACAATAACACACGATTTTGTAATAAAATGTGAAGATAAATAAATTCACGAAAATATACCAAGTATTGCAAAATATATAAATGATAAAACTTATTATTATAATATACACATATTATAATAATTTATACATAATAATATATACTTATTATTATAATATATACATATTATAATATACACTTGATGAAGATAATAAAGAATAAAGTACAATAATTTCTGAACAATAATAAATGTGCAAGAGAAATTCAATCCGGCACACGCCAGACATAATTTATAAATATTACGATGGCGCTGAAGACTGTCAGTGACGGAAAAGGTCAAGTAATAAATTTTTTTTTCTCATTAAGAATCATTCTAAAAATTTACGATCACAAATAGAATATAAAAAATGACTATTACAAGAAGACGTTATATTATGATCGAGTTAACAAAAAATCACGTAATTCTAATCTCACGTGCGTCACACTTTTTGAAATTAAACTTTAAATTAAAAGATCTATCTTGACATGTGTAAATAGTATTTCATTATTTTATAAAAAAATTTAAGATAAAATTAAATGCATGCATACAAATTATTCTTACTTTTTTTACTGTTTAATTTTTCTTTACATAATTATTCAAAATTTCAATATAAAGGAATTCATGCTTTTTAAGCGATTTGGGAAACACGCGAAAACGTTGGGCTCATCTTTTTTCTTATTCAATTTCACTTGCTGAATAAAAAATCGTAGTTTTTAAAAAAGTAAATTTAAATTAGACGAATTATGAAAGGCTTATATCAAATTATAACGATAATGAAGCTGTTGAGCCAAGCTAAGTGTAACGTGTTAATAATCAATTATTTTGAACTGTGATGGTAAACAATCTTTAATATTATATAAATACTTAAAGTACAATATAAATAATCCCAGACGTTTCGATCCTTTTACATAGCGATCATCCTCAGTGGGAATAAAACGAATTAAATAATCAACCTTATATACATGTAAACGCATTCGCTCGCAATTTATAAAGGTCTGATGTTATACAATTCTTGTCTTGGCTTCTAGATTTTTCAGAAAGCATCATTTTTAGTCCGTGAATTATAGTTAGATGTATGTTTGAATATCCAGAATTCATATAACTGTTGAGAGAGAACACACCAAGAAATACCAGGATTGAGAACAAATAAATAAATAAAATAAATTAATTAATAGATAAAATTATATAGAAAACTATTTAAATTATAAATTATGAGTAGTCAACTTAATAAAATATGTAAAACAGAAAGTAATAATCTAAGTGAACGTAGTCATTTTCATA